CCTGGCATTAAATTGGGTGCCCTTCTTTGCCTAATCAGCTGAGCAAGCAGAGAGATATGATGCAAAAGGATCCTTCTGCCTAACACCCTTTGGCATGAGATCTTCCCCTGGAAATTTTTGATACTCTGAGGGTGTGTCTAGACTACTGAGTTTTGTCGACAAAAGTGGACTTTTGTCGACAAAACGATACCTGCGTCTACACTACCGCTGAGTTCTGTCGACATAACGTCGAGAGAACTCAGCAGTTTTGTCGACGCTGGTAAACCTCATTTTACGAGGCATAACGTCTTCTGTCGACAGTTCTGTTGACAGAAGGTGTTATTGCCTTTAGGGTTGCGTCTAGACTACAGGGTTTTGTCGACAAAGCAGCTTGCTTTGTCGACAGAACTGAATGTGTCTAGACGCTTTATGTCGACAGAAGTTTTGTCGACAGTATCTGTCGACAAAACTTCCATCGACAAAACCCTGTAGTCTAGACGTACCCAAACAGTCCTATTTATGATTTCCGTCACTGCAACAGCTACAAACCCCAATCGTGGAGCAGGGATCCATTGTGCTAGGAACTCTACAGCCCCACACCCCAAAGTTGGGGGGGGGGGGGGGCAGGGTGTTTCTATGTTTATTTTTAATCAGTCTTATAGAAAAACCTTATTTTTTAGAAAAGGCAGGCATCATAAAGCCAACAAGAAATAAAAAGCCCATTAGGAAATGGAAGCAACTGAGTGAAGCTGTCCTGGAATAGGCCATTTCTGTGGTACAAACCAAAGCTGGTGAGACAAAATGGTAGGGCTTGGAAGGATTCTGCTGAAGATTTCAGCTGTTTGTTTTACAAAAATTTAGAGGCCAAAATATTTTCAATTTTCAGCTGCCAAAATCTGAAGTTTTTTGGACCAAAATCTAAAGTGTTTTTTGTCATTTTTGTACTGAAAGAAAGAAAGAAAGAAAGAAAGAAAGAAAGAAAGAAAATGTTTGTTGTGAATTTTTTTATTTAACCCAAAACCCCGCTTTTTGCAGATAAAATTGCTTTTATGGACATTTTTCCTCCAGCATTCGCACACTCCAAGGTGGTAGCCTGGGCTGGAGGCATTTATGTATAAAAGCTTCCCATTTGCACTTCCTTGGGGGCATGTGACTTGTGTCAACCTTCGCCGGCCAGCTTACCCATTTCACTCCTCCTGAGTTCACCCCACCCCGCACACAGACCCTCCCCACCCCAGCCTCGACTTCAGATTTCCCTGATGGACCCCATAGGATTTCATGAAAGCTGGACCAAAATTCTGGGTCTGAATGCTGAACCTGAAAAAGAGGAGGTGTTAAGATCTGGGGTTTGGGGCTGACATTTGTCAAACCCGGGGCTCTTTGACTGGGGATTTTGAAACCTCTTTCCTGGCTCCCTAGAGATCAGAGCCAGGGCTGGGGTTCTGGCCCATCTCCTGGTGCAGCAGAAATATCTGGAGTCATAAAACATTCCAATGCATATTTCTGAGGGAGAGACGGGTTCGAACTTCCCAGGCAGTTCTTAAAGCGGGGAGGAGACAAGGTGCCATTTCTGCAGGTAAGGAATACATCTTTCAGGGGCCTAAAAAAAAAACCAAATCACAAATAAGCCACCTGGGCAGCCATTTCAATACAGCACTTGGCTTGGCCAAGGAACTAAGTGCTTTGCAGAGTTGGGCAACGCATGGCAGAGACAGAACCCACATGGGACTGTTCTCCAGCCCCAGACTCTGCTGTGCAGGCGAACGTCAGAGTCCCAGAGTGGTACACAAGTCTCAAACCACCTCCTTCCCTTGTGCCAGGCCTTAGGCCCGAGGCTGGAGTGGTGCGAAATAGCTGTCGCCATGTGAACACCAGGAGGTTCTATAGACACTTCTCCTTCTGAATGTTACCAAGATCAAATGTCACCAACAGAATGACTGTGTGTGGCGAACTCCACGGGCCCCCGGGGACAGAATCCACTCCCCACAACCTGCCGGCACCTTCAGTGCCTGCTCTTAGACTGGAATATTGGCTGCAGCGCCAAGCACATGAGGATACATCCAATGGCCCAGACCTGCCCCACCTCTGAGCCATACCCCTTGGGGCGGCTGCAACCCCAGCCCCTGATGGCCAGTGGAGAAAGCGGGGGTCTATGGGGAGAGAATCCTAGAACTGGAAGGGAGCTCAAGAGGTCATCAAGTCCAGTCCCCTGCCCTCACGGCAGGACCAAGCACCATCTACGTCCGTGGTCCCCAACACGGTGCCCGCGGGCGCCATGGCACCCGCGGGGGCATTTCAATGCTCCCGCCAGGTGCTCGGGGCTGGCCTGGCCCCGGGCACATGGCGCACAGGCGCTTGCGGGGGGAGCACGCTTGGCGGGGGGAGTGCCGGGCGCGCGGCACTCGGCGGGAGGGGGGGAGTGCCGGCCCCGGGCGCGCGGCGCTTGCAGGGGGAAGGGGGGAGCACCGGCCCCGGGCGCGCGGCCCTTGGAGGGGGCCCCGCCCCCGGGCGCGCGGCGGGCAAACGGCCACGCCCCCTGGTGCCCGACAACCTCAAAAGGTTGGGGACCACTGATCTACATCATTCCCTGATCGATGTCTATCCAATCTGCTCTTAAATATCTCCAGTGATGGAGATTCCACAACCTCCCAGGGCAATTTATTCCAGTGTTTAACCATCCTGACCATTAGGAAGTTTTTCCTAAGGTCCAACCTAAACCTCCCTTGCTGCAATTTAAGCCCATTGCTTTGTGTCCTATCCTCAGAGGCCAAGGGGAGCAATTTTTCTCCCTCCTCTTTGTAAAACACCCCTAGTGGCTGGTGCAGAGGAGGGAGCTGGAACAAGAGAAGAGGCCTCTGGCAGGCAGCAAGGGAGGCTAAGGGAGGAGAAAAGGCCACTGGAGGCCAGCAAGGGAGGCTGGAGGAAAAGAAAAGGCCCCTGGCAGCCTGCAAGGGAGGCTGGGGGAGGAGAAAAGGCAGAGTGTGCTGTGTGGGAAAGAACAGCCATGCACCCCATTTTGAAATTACAGTCCTGGAGTTACAGGGTTCCCCTCATTCTAACTTTCAAACTGCTCCCAGCACTTTGCCCCATTCCCATTTTTACCACCCACCAATGCCTCCCCGGCACCCTCCGCCCGGTTATGCACAGTGCCTAATGTCTCAGTGGAAGTGTCTCTTCCCTTGCAGATAGATCGTGCAAGGAAGCCACCAGTGTGCACTGGATGAGATGCCCAGACAAATGACACAGTCTCTCTCAGTGCACAGATAGCTTTGAAATGCACCAGTCTGTGCCCCTCTCTGCACCGGACAGCTCTGTGAGCCAGGGTGGAAAGGGATCCACAGCTCCTAGCTCCTCCCTGCGCCCCGGGAGTGGGTTGGGTCCAGGAGAGGCACAGCTCCTCCTGCAAATGCAGAGGTTTCTTGATCCTGGGGCTTGCACCAGAAGAGTGGGGAGGGATGCAGAAGGCCTGTCCCGATCAGGTCTCTACAAGGCTCATGCCCGGCTCTGGTGCTAAACAGAATAACAGTGCTAATAACCACAGAAATGGATCCGCAAGGCGAGAGTGCACTGAGCACAGATTTTCTTGAAATAGACCAAGGAAAACATGGTGCAGCTACCGCATCATGTCTCCATATCTCCACATTCTCTGGGCTCAGCCCCTCCCTACCCAGGGGGTCCTGCCACAGTCTCCTCCTTTCAGCCACAAACGTCTCCGCCCTGTGAAGCTGCCTGCTCAAACCAGCAAGTCTTTGCCCTTGTCTCCAAGTTGCAGACCCAGCTGAGCGGCTGGGATATTGGGGGCCAGATTCTGCAGCCCTTCCTCCTCCTGAGCAGGACTTACTCCCAGGAGTCCCACTAGGGTCACTTCCAGGGCTCAGGGCTTCTCGGCATGAACAAGATGCAGCATTGGGTCGAGAGTAAAGAAAATCAAATCATGCAACTCTTTTGTTTACTTCCCCGGGGCTTTTCCACTTTGATGGGCTCAGACCAGGATAAAATAGCACCAGGATGTAGCACTCCAAACTCAAGGCCAGTCACATTGCAGGCCATTACTCACCCAAGTTGCCCCATTCCCAATAGAAAGGGGTCATAAGCCAGCCATAAATAAAATAGGGGCCCTATGTCAAACGGGACACGTTGGCTCTAGACACCAAGAGGATTCATGGATAGAGGTTGTCGAACTCATGGAAGAAAATGAGAGTTTTGACTCCTTGGAATTTTTCATCATACAGAATCATTCAAACCCGCCAGCACCTTAATATTAAAGCCGAGAAACACGTCACTAACTGTTGGGAGATGGACCTTGGGAAGGGGAGATCCGCTCATTGCTTTACTCTCCTGCATAAACATCTTTCTGCAGCAGATAATAATCCACCCCATTTAGCTAGAGCCAGACATTCCTCTGCAGCTGGAGAGGCCGCCCTCAGCGCTGGAACATTGTGCTGCATTCGATCTATGCAGCAGTTTTCCAATCAGAGACCCTGGTGGAGAACTTTTAAGATTTGTACCCAGCTGAGCGAGGAGGTCATCCAGTAAGACATCCTCCTTTTGCATAGGGAATTAGACTCCCTCTCCAGTCTCAGCGCAAACCCTAACGTGGCTCAGTCGCTGCAGTGTGAAATGGGGGCATGGACCCCTGGGACCTTCCCAAGCTGCCAGCGAGTTAGCCCCCTGCTGCTCACAGACAGTGCAGCACCTGACACAATTTGCAGAGTCTGGCTTTGGAAATGCATGTTCCCCTTCGGTTCTGTTCTCTGGGTTGCCGCTGCTTCCTTTAGGAGGCACCAGAGGGTTGTCTGATATGAGCAGTGGCTGAAAACCTTCCTCATCCTAGAGCCAGCACAGGGAGGAAAAATTCCCTCGCTAAGGAGCAAAGGAAATTACTTGGAAGGGCGCACGAGTTTCAAACAGGGGCTCTCCCACTCTGTTCGCTTCCGTCTAAGGTCACCCCACCCCCTGGACAGCCCCCCCCCCTTGGGAAGAAGAGCAGGGGGCAGGGGTTGGAGGTGAAGGTTGCCTACCTGATGATCACATACATGACCGAGCAGTTGCCCACCAGGCCTACGATGCACACGATGGAGTAGACCACCACAATGGTGATCTTGATGCCCAGCGGCAGGAAGCTGTCCCCGGTGCCGTTGTTAAACCAATTCCTGGGGAAGCTCAGGTTGAACATGGAGGAGTCGTTCAGCAGTTTCCTCAGGTCAGGGTCTTCCAGAATATGGGCGGGGAAGAGAGAATCCATCCTGAAGCCGGCCCGCCCGGGGCAAAGACCTGGGTCACCAAAACAGGAGCAATGGGAAGGGGGTGAAGAACAGGCAGGGGTTGGGTTGGCTAGCCCAGCCACAGTCCCGCAGCTGGGGCAAAGCCAGAGGACAAGGCAGATGGGTAGGCACGCCCCACACCCCTGCCTCTGAGCACAGGCAGAGTCAGCACATGCATGATCCGGGCACATCCATGCGTTGCGCTCATGTGGGGATGCTGCGGGGCTCCAGCTATGGGCAGCATCCGTTCCTCTGCAGGCGCACACACCACACACACACACACAGTCACAACACGCACCCCCCACAGCATCCCTCCCTGCTTTGCTGCT